GGGGGCTTTAGTTTTGACTATTTATAACCATATGTGAGGCATCAAGGTGAAATCAGGCACTCGTCAAAGTAATGAAATCCAAGAAATTGGCATTTTCGGCCAGTTTGGAATTTTTTTTCGAATTTTTGTTTTTTGGCTTAAGGCCTTGTATGTCCATTAAAAAACACTTTCATGTGTGGGTTTTACGAAGAAAGTTAATTAAAGGCACAAAAATTTTAGTTTGCAGTTTCCAACGACTCTTAAGGTATTGAAGTCACCAAACTTTGAAGGCCGTCTTCTCACTAATTTTACCTCTGTAACCAGGTGACTCCACCTCCTGCAATCGCAAATATCTTGACTTCTGTTCAGGATAAATAGATTTTTTTTTTAATTGAAAGTGAGTGAAAAGAACAACTTTTAAGATGATATAAACAACTCCATATGCCCAAAAATTGAAGAGCGCCTGATTCCTCTGCGTTGTGACACATATTACCATGCCATTGACATTTAAATGCAATGAAATCCTCCTCAAATTTTCAGTGTTACAATTATCCTAGTCAGTTGTAAATGTAAGGCCACAACCTTATTAACACCCGACACAGACGGTCAGACCAGACCGTCTTTGGGCACAAAAGAAGGCGCACCGACTCTTTAGTAATGGAATATAACAAAAAACGGTTTCGGCTACCGTACTGACACCCGACGTCCTGTGTCGGCCCTAGTCAGACCGTCTCTGATGAAACATGTTCTATCGAAGACGGTCCGTCGGGAGGTGATTTTAATTCTGTTATCTCTGCATAGTTGTGTCCCCTTTCCTGCCTCAGACACTACACAGAATTCTAGCAGTTCTTGGTCAGTTCATTGAAACTGCTATGTTTCATTCGATAGTATTGTTGAGATTTTTCACTATCTTCCAACAACTGTGGGAACAAATTATGAAATTCACATAGTGTATCACACTTTCTTTTGATGAGATGCACTGAAAATCTTCTTGTCTTGGTTTTCCTTTTTTTGTCTGCGTCTCAAAAGCAACAACAACAACAATTTCCTTCTTCTACCACACACCATATTTGCAAGACGGCGGTGTCTGACCGCCAAACTCCGGTGTTAATATGGTCGGCCTCACCCGACGGAAAACGACGGGTCTCGTCTGACTGTCAGTGTCAGGCGTTAATATGGTTCTACCCTTATGGAGCCTATGTCTTTTTGGCTGAAAATAATCAATAATTTTACAGCTTTTTAACTCTTTCACTACCAGGAGGTTTTCCTCATCTGGACCGAGCCCAATCTGTGACCTACTTTCTGATTCAACCTACCGTCGGACAAATTAAAGATTTTAAGTTCAATTTTCAATATAAGCCACATGTATTATATTATGAAAATAAAGAGGAAATAATTATCTATCTCAGCATGTTGATAAAAACGATCAATCTTTAGCCTGAGGTTTCAGTTTCGATTGTTACAAAAGTAGGTATGGTTTTGAAGCAGGAAGTGGAGAGCCCTAAAACACGGCTCATAATCCAGCGAAGGGTGTAACACGAGCCGTGAAACATGACTCGCGGTAGTGGAAGAGTTAACAAATCTTTTCAGTTTGAAATGGCTTTTGTAAAACGATTAAAGTGAGAGAAGAGGCAAGACAAAAGATGAGAACTTTGATAAAAGAAACACAACCACTTCACACCAAAACTTATCTCCTCTCAACAGACGATACCAAGTCATCCTGGATGCCGTGCCAGCCTCTGTAGGCAGCATTCTGACTGCAGATGCCATCTTTGAGACCCAGAAGTATGGCACCCCAGTCTCTGTCTCGTCTGCGGATTCGCCAGGGCAGAGCAGCCAGTCCACGACGGCAACAATAATGGATTTGACAACCTCCACTACAACAACAACTACGACAGTGATTCTAACAACAGCAGCACCAAGTGAGCTAAAGATTTTGAGTTTGGGGGTTATTTTTGTTGTTGAAATGGGTGCAAGGCAATACAATAGAGGGTGAAGCTCTAACTCTACTATTCTCCTGCATTCCCGTTTAAACTCCTTAAGCCCAATATATAAGTCATACATTCATCGACCTTTAGAGAGAAATCACGTGTAGGCAAAAAGGCATACTAACAGACCAGCACGCAGGCAGTCAAGCAGGCAGGTAGTCAAGCAGGCAGGTAGATAGTTGGGTATGAGCACTGACAGAAAGACATACAAAAGTATTTATGTATAAATAGATTGAGGGAATGAGGAATGTCAAAATAGATGTGCATGTATTTCTATTTGGATGGATCAATATAGTTATAATTTTATTTTTAAAAATCATTTTAACTTGCTCGCTATTTCTATTCCAGCACCAGGTGCTATAGAGGAAGATGATCATCACACGCTGAACCTTCGAGTTCCAAACAAGACTCCTTACAGGTAATGGAGCTCCGCTTGATCGATCAATCGGATCTTCATGGTGGGGTGGTGTAAAAAAGGGTCTGGCCTCAGTGCTCTTGTTCAAACATTATTCATTAAGAATAAGCTGTGACCTTTGATCTTCTTCAGCAAGATAATATTATGGCTTCCCTTAGTAACTGGGCAAAATGATTAGTCCAGAGACATCTACTGGTACTTTAATTATAATAAGGTTTGTTGATTCAATATTTACTCTGGAAGAGTCTTATAAATGCTGTTATTATTACTACTAGTGTTATATTATTTCTAACTTTTGTAAAAAGAAGGTCTTAACAGACTGCCACTCCTCACCCCCCCCCCCCCACTAACCCCCACCAACCCCCACCCTGAAATAAAAATCTTCCTGCCTCCCCAAGAGTCTTGAAGCACAGAAAAGCTGTCCCCTGAGAATTTGTTACTCTTAGAATAACAGCATTTGTGTATCTGTTTTACCTTAGACAATTTATCTCAAAACTATCCACTGGTAGCTCCTACTTCTTTTCTTTCCCCCTGTTGTTTCTGTCATCTGTCTTACTTCTCCCCTACATTATATGACCATTTTTGCTTTGATGTGCTTGTCTTTGCTGAAACTGAAACTCAGCTCAATACTCTAAGTCTTGCATGCACGGTGTTGAGAATGCAAGGTATATATTTACTTTTGTTTGACAGTATATCATTTGGAAGAGGTTCAAATTCACTTTTATTTCCAGAGTGGACATTCGATGGACAGTTGACCGTGGCGACTTGAAGGCTGTGAAGAATTTCGTCATCACTATCAAGGGAAAGACAGGAAGAAAACTGCTACAGCAGGAACTTAGAGATAACCAGAGGTAACTCTGTCTGTCTGTCTGTCTGTCTGTCTGTCTGTCTGTCTGTCTGTCTGTCTGTCTGACTGTCTGTCTGTCTGTCTGTCTGTCTGTTGGTCTGTCGGTCTGTCTGTCTGTCTGTCTGTCTGTATGTCTGTCTGTCCAACTATTGACCACATATTTATCTATCTATTTAACAATTGACCACATGGTATATATCTATCTATCTATCTGTCTGTCTGTCTGTCTGTCTGTCTGTCTGTCTGTCTGTCTGTCTGTCTGTCTGTCTGTCTGTCTGTCTGTCTGTAGTATACATGGTATCTATCTATCTATTTATCTATCTGTCTGTCTGTCTGTCTGTCTGTAGTATACATGGTATCTATCCATCTATCTATTTATCTATCTGTCTGTCTGTCTGTCTGTCTGTCTGTCTGTCTGTCTGTCTGTCTGTCTGTCTGTCTGTCTGTCTGTCTGTCTGCTTATCTTTTCATCTTTTCTTTGGTTTATCTATTAATATTAATCTCCATTACCCAGCGACTTTGGGTAAATGTTGAGGTATGCATCTTTGTCTATCTATCTGCTCAGATCAGGCTAATCAGGCTCTCGTCAAAGTAAGGAAATCAAAGAAAGCGACATTTTCTGCCAGTTTGGCAATTTTTAACAAATGTTTGTTTTTTGGCTCATCACCTTTTATGTCTATTTAAAAGCACATTTTTGTGGATTTTACTGAAAAACTTTGATTAACCCTATCCGTACGCCCTGGGCTCATTTTGTACCCCGGCAGTTATATTCTTCACATTTTAGAATTCTTCTAGTACGAAGATATCTTTGAAACTTTCAGTATTTCTAAAAAAATCTTTTTGACCGAGTGCTATGCAAAGCGTACGGATCGGATTAATGAGTAAACTTCCTCTTTGAAAGTGGTGGCACAGAGTTCCAAACGTCGTATGGATAATATAATAAAACATGACATACGGATAGGGTTAAAGGCACAAAAAAGGTAAATCTTCAGATTACACAGGACTCTCAAACTATGGAAGTCTCCAAACTTTAGCGGCCTTTTCCTTGCTAATTATACCTATAAAACCAGGTGACTCCCATGACCTCCTTCAAGTACAAATATCTTGATGTCTATTCCAGATAGATGGGTATTGTTTTCATTGAAAGCAATGTAAATGAACAGATTTAAATAGTAGAACCAAGAACTCCACATGTCCAAAAACTGATGAGAGCTTGATTTAATTATGTCGTGACACATTTTGAAAACTTTAGGGAAGCATGTATGAAATTGTCTCCTTGAACAAACATTAAACAAGAAAAGATTGTTGACCCTAAATTCTTTATAGAACCAGACTGCATGACCAAAACATGGCTTCTTTCTCATAATCCTACTCCACAGAAGTTACACCAATACCGCACAAACACACACTCACGTCTGAAGTGAACAAAACTTTGTTTTCTATTTTATTCAAAACTTCAATCAATTAATGCTTCACATCTACATCATTTTGCTACAGGTCCATAACAATTCACTCTCTGAGCCCCAACACGAAGTATTTTGTTAACCTGAAGGCAAATGGAGATTCTGGTGTGCTGGCAGAAGCAGATTTACCAGTCCTGACTCCTTCTGCAGACGCTGTGGCTGGTCAGATTTCTTCTTTTTTTTTAAATGAATTTATTCTACTAATAAGTTTGACTTACCACTTAGATTTTCAGGTATAAAGCTTACATTTTGCTGGAGACCCCTGTGGTTTTTCATTACCTGTTCAACATTTAATGTAAAGTGTTTAGTTTACTGAAAATTTTGATCTCTGTTTTCTAGTTCAATGTTGAAACATAAAAGTTACTATTGCCATTGCCCTAAAGTTGTTTCACTAATTTTACCATAAACTTACTATTTTAATGAGTTCTTTGTTCAAGTATCATATCGTTTTGTTGTTGGTTCTTTTTACAAGCTGCTGTTTGTATTTAATTTCAGCTTTCAAGCTAATTTCTGTTGGCCTTTCTGTTACGTGTACATTTGACTTTTTGTCTGACTATTGGTCTCTCCAAAAACCAATTCGTTCAGTAGCCTTTGGGCAAATGAAAAAAAATCTACATGCCAGAACGTAGTTCACTCTAACGGTAGAATAGCATGAATGAACATTTTTGGGTCATGTGTAACATAGACGTACACATAATTTACTGTATAGTGTCTGCCATGAGTTCATCCTTTGTCTTTCTTCTTTTCCCTAACTACAACATCAAAAACACCCGTATCCTATATGGCTCTTTAGTAGCCTTATGATATCTGGTCCTTGTATGTGTTTGACACCCCTTTCAACACTGCAAAGTTGTTTAAGAGTCGAGACCCTAGAATTTAATTTCTGTCTACAATAGGATCGAGCTGAGTAGTTTACTAGAAAGCATACAAAATTCCTCAAACAGCCTAAGTTCAAGAACAACTCATTTGAGATTTGAACCAGATTCATTGGCACCTTCACCCTACATAATACACCTAAGTTGTACTTAGAACGTTATCAAAATCATGCTATTAATATGGAAGAGCACATAAGGTAATATGTTCCATTCTGTAGTCATAAAATGCAAGCTTTACTTCTTTTTGCATTGATATATTTTTCTCTTTGGTGTTTGGCAGTCACATCTTCTGCTGTTCTTGACCTTGAGGCGAATGAGATCAGGCCGTCCAGTGCCAGACTTGACTGGCTGGTGGTTAACGGAGATCCAAAGATGGTCAACTCCTACAGGTGAGCTCAAGCTCTGGAGTGCTCCGACAAGGTTTTTCATGTTCATATACCCATTGTTTTGAGTACTGTTTTTAAAATATAATTGATTGTGGTTAATTGGTTCATTTCGAGAAAAGTAATAGAGTACCTTTTGGACATTGGAGAAGAGAACAACGGCAGGCTGAGGCATGAGCCATGGACTGTCGAAGACCTCGTGAGCGTGAGTGGCAGTTGAGGGGCTAGAGCATTGTCACTCATCAGTGCAAGTTGGGCCATGTACTGTGCTAGATAGGGACAGTAGAATAGGCTGTCACGTGCAATGTGAATTTGTGACTTCTCGATGGACATCCTGCAGTTGGTGATTGCTACAAGAGGTGGGTGTTTATATTTAAACTACTTTGATAATGATTTTATTTTGAATGTTCTAATTCTCAGGTTGGTTTTTCACGAGTCTGTTGTTATATACCAGTAGTAAAATATACATGAAGCCAAATTGAAACTGGCTTTAATTCTAATTATGTTTTAGTTAATTGACTTGGAATTGAAACATCCCATAGAGTCTTAAATTGAAGTTACCTCTCTGAATTGGAATGAAACCTCTAAGGACGAAAAAAAGGAACATAGAATTCATAAATAGAAAAGGAATAGATTTTCCTCACCACGATAGATTAGATCACATTTTCATGTTCTTCTACTTTTACACATCAGCATCCAAGTACTAGACGGAGGACCTGGTGGATTCAATCTTCTCACACAAAAAGTACCAAAGCACTCACAGTCGCTGAACCTGCAAAAGCTACTACCAAACAAGTAAGATTATAACTTTATACTTCTCTGTCTGGCCTTGACCCTTTGAGTCATTTATGTATTGTGTATTTCTTTGGGTGTATTTGTGTTTGTGAGTAAGTGTGTATTTGTGTGTGTATTTGTGAATGTATTAATGTTAGTGTTTATTTTGAGTAGGTGTATGTACTATGTGTGTAAATAGAAGTGTGTGTATTTTGTGCCTATGTATGTGTGTGTATTTGTGTGCCCGTGTATGTGTGTGTATGTGCACTTGTATGAGTATGTGTGTGTGTGTATGTGTGTGTGTGTGTGTGTGTATGTGTGTGTGTGTGTGTGAGTGTGTGTGTGTGTGTGTGTGTGTGCATGTGTGTGTGTGTGTGTGTGTATGTGTATGTATGAACATGTATAACATGTTGACGATGCCACAATTAGTTTATGCTGACATGGTGTAAAATAAAATTAACATAGCTGAATTGTACACTCCCATTTTACTCCAGGAGATACCACGTGATCATTGACGCCCTTGACGCTTCGGATAATACCCTGATGAAGTCTTCTCTGACTTTTGCCACACCCGCACAGGGCCGATATGGAGTCCCAGTTCGAGCCTCGTCGAATGAGGAAAAGTCTGTAAGACAACCAGAACCTACCCAAAGGCCTCCTGTTAGCCCAGGTAGAAGAGCCTTGTACACCTGCTTCTTTTCTAGGACGGATAGTGGATGTAGTCCGGTGGATTACAACTTTTGTTTTACAATCATTGTCTCCACTAATAGTTTTAAAAGAGCATAGAGCATGCTGTAGGGTGTGGATGTAGGCTATATATAGATTATCGCGGTACCGACTGGCAGCAGTGACAGCTGCAGCAGCAGCAGCAGCAGCAGCAGCAGCAGCAGCAGCAAAAGTTGGTAAATGCTATAAGTATGCTCCTAACAGATTCAACGCTGTGTGTCCTTCGAGTACACGAGCTTGTAAATTTATAACTTACAGTACTGCAGGTTCATATCGTGAAAAACTCTTGAGTACCGCACCGATTTAGAAGCCAGCAAAATAATTAGGGTAGGCCTATGTTACAAAAAATTCAACCAACAAAAGTCATTGACAGAATTACATGAAATTTTCAAGACATAATCAGAAAGAAATGTACTGTATAGAAAAACCTCTTTTGCGACATATAGACATCATGATAAAATTCTGTTTGGAGAGGGTAGCATGCCCACCTGAATTTCTAGATCTAGATATAGCAATCTGGGAACGCTAAAGCTATGGAAGAACAAAAATGTAAAAAAAAACCTTCACAGCTCAAGAAACGCACTTTAAAATTTTGAAGCACTACATCAACGATTCAGATATCACATAGAGTGATTTCCTTTGATATTTACTTCTGTGGAGAAGTTCCGTTCGTTGTTTAGTGTGCCTGGTCGAGTCAGCGACTAAAGTCACCAGCGGTACTGAGTGGAAATTGCGGGCCGACTACTAAAGTCGCGAACGGTACTGTAAGTGTCAAGTGAATCAGCCAGTTAAAGAAATGTTTACGTAAAGTTGTGTAAACCAGTATAAACCCGCAACAGTGAAACAAGTGCTGTTATTTTTTCTTTTAAAATATTTTCTTAATTAAACGCAGACATTAAATTATTGCTTCTTTTTCTCTCCAATTTATTCCAGCCATTCATGAGCCGATTCTGGACATGGAAGTTTCCCCAACTGCTGAAACTTCTGCCAGACTGACGTGGCAAGTGGCTGGTGGGGACGCTTTGGACATCAAGAACTACAGAATCAGAGTGAGAAGCAAGGACCAAAATGGTTTTGTGTTGTTGGAGAACAGTTTTCCTTCCAACACGGAGTTCTTCGCCATTGATGGGGTGCGAGCTAGAGAGTGAGTATAGTATTGTCCCTTATATTTGTCTCATCGTTTTTTATTCTTGTTTTTGCCATTTTTGACTTGGTTTCTGTGGTTTTCATCATAAAATAGATTTTTTACAAGTTCTACTTTCCTAAGTCTCTCTCTCTCTCTCTCTCTCTCTCTCTCTCTCTCTCTCTCTCTCTCTCTCTCTCTCTTCCTCAT